CCGACTCATCAAGAGGTTGAACCCTCAACAGTCTGCAGAATCCCCTCACTGATTACACTGTAAATGATAATCTACCTTAACCAAAATCAAAGTAGACTGTATATGTATATGGTAACTGGCATTCGGGACGGGCCCTTGGCAACCGAACCCGAACGCCCAAACGTTTGGGACCCCCTGTCGACGCGTTCGGATATTCGGCCGAGCCCGGAAAAAAAAAAAAAAAAAAAAAAAAAAAAAAAAAAAAAAAAAAAAAAAAAAAAAAAAAAAAAGTTTCCAAAAACAATTGTGAAAAAATAAATTTGTCATGCAGAAGAATAAACTAAATAACATTTTCGTCAACAGTACATCCAAATTCCTTACCAAATTTGAACTAAAAAAGAAAAACGAAAAATAAATAATTATTTTGAAAGTAAGAAAAAATGAAATAAAATAAAATTATTGCGTGGGGTAGCAAGTTTTTGACACCACCGTATTTCGCTATTTTTCTTTTTTTTTTGGCTTTGTCAAATGGTATAAAATTTTATACATATGTATCTTACATAATGGATAACCTACAATAAAGTTAGAAAAAAAAAATACTTTTTTTCAGGCCCTGAAATAAAAGAAAAACAAAAAGTGAAAAATAAAACAAACAAATTTGTAATTGGGAAAGCAAGTTTTGAGACCACCATCTTTGCCGATTTTTCATTATTTTTTAGCTCCGCAGATTGACTTCCAAATTGAGAGAAAGGTAGCTTACATAACAGAGAACTTAGAAAAATAAAAATTCAGAAAAAATAAAATATTGAGAAAGGTAGCTTCCAAAATGACTTCCAAAAAAAATATTGAGAAAGGTAGCTTCCAAATTGAGAACTTAGAGAAAGGTAGCTTCCAAATTATATTCCAAATTGAGACGTTTGCCCGAACGCGGAACCAAAAAAAAAAAAAAAAAAAAAAAAAAAAAAAAACCGAAAAAAAAAAAAAAGTTTTCAAAAATTCTGAGTGAATAATATGTCATGCAGAATAATAAAGTGTATATATTTGTATTGCAATGAACCCGGATAATGCGGTAGAAATGGAGGGGCAGACTTGTCATATGGGGTGCGATTGTGTGCATGTCATCAACAGCGTTTGTTCGCCGAAATATATATATATATCAACGAAAAAGTTTTCCTCGATTAAATAATAATTCTATAGTGAAATTACATTCTAAATTTTAAATTTTAATTCTATCTTAAAAAATATCATTTCAATTTTAAAATTTTCCGTCTTACTTGAAAACTTACCTTCCACGAATGGGCTATCCCTTCTTATTTGAACTGCATGCTAGAGATGGAATGAAAGTGTGGATGAGTTCATGAAATATTTTAATTGGACTGTCATTCTAAGTAAGGATTTTCAGTCATAAATAAGTTAATCCAATCTAAATTAGAAGATATTTCTTGTAGTAGAATAAAAAATTAATTAAAACATTTCATAAACTCGTCCAAACTTTCATTCCATCTTGAACAAATAGATGTAGTTGGAAGGGAAAACTCATATTTAGACGGGAACTTATCAAATAAAAATGAAAATTTTAGAATTGGACGAACATTGGAATGATAATTTATAAATATGAAGGATTTTTTATCATTTTGTTTTTATTGAATGTTTTTTCAACTTTCATTTCTCGTGGGAATTTTTCTGTTGATTGTGTTGGGACGCACATCGTGATCCGTGATAATGTGCTTTCGCGTGTGCAGGTGCGTCTGCCCTTCCGCATCCATAGGGCAGGGGCATCAACATGGACCGCGAACAACCTCCTGCAGCTCCGCCGCCGTCGTCGAAATCCCCGTTGCTTCCTACTCCTCTCTCTTCATCTCCATCCGCCTCACGCGCTCTTTCTTCTTTGCAAGGCTCTTCGGTGTACCATGATATTTCACGCGGTCGAGGGAGAGGGCTTTTGGATCCACGCGGACGCACTCAAACGGATTGTATACTGGAAAGACCTGCAACCAGGCAGCGTTTGGATGACAGAATGGTCGTTGTGTCGTTCCCTCCTTTGTTGAATTCGACAAATGTCACACAAACTCCTCTCCTGAGTCACATGCGTGCAACCATTGCTGCAATCCCTACTCTCCCCACTTTCGTTGGCGATCCCGCAACGTCTTCGTTTGCGCAATCCGCTGTGCTTTCTTCTCGTCCTCCATTTTCTTCGCCCATGGGCTCTCTCGCAGCGATATTGCTGACGCCTTGGTCCGGAAGTCAGAGCATGTGCGGTGTTCAACAAAGTCGTTTAGACGCCACGCATCCATTTGGTTTGCCGCGGTCATTCCCGTCTTCGGGCCATGACAACTTCGGCGCGGTGCCCGTTGCGGGTGTCTTTGTGTCGGATCCTGTTCGTCGAACAGAAGAGACACGTTCACCGATCGAAGCAGTGCAGCCGACATTATGCACTCCGGTTTCCAGCAACGGTGCACGCGATGTTCTTTTCCCGGCTAATGATAGCGAGCCTGGGATGAGTTTCTCGCCTCGATCGCCCCGTACGAGGTCCAGTACACCTCGTGAAGGCAAGCCTCACTGGGTGCGATGTAGACTTGATCAAAAAAATCGTCTGGGTGAGATTGCGAAGGCGATGGGGAAGAAGTTATCGACTCGCACTCGAGGCTCCAAAGATATCAAGAAAAATAATTGTTCGTACGAGGACGTGTACGATCAGCTCATGGAGTGGAGTTCCGTTCACATTGATGAACTGATGTCAAAGTATGGCCCCGGCGAACAATCGTCTGGTCATGGGGGTTCATGCGGACAAGGATCGGACGCAACGGCGACACCAAAGTCGCGAGGTGGCAGACCTCGCAGTGACGCATTGAAATGGCGCGACGGCAGGCCGGGATATTCGGATAATGGTCCGATGTTTGAACGATTGAGCGTGAGGGACCAAATGGCCATGTGGGATGCTAAAGCAAGACCTGATGTCGTTTTCATTGAGCAGGTTAAACTTCTACAGATTCTCGGGATGTTCGAGCAAACGTGTCCTAGGCACAGGAAAGACGTTGAGGTGACGATCAAGAAGATCCATTATCCATGTCACATTTGCAAGTTGCAATTCGAGTGCGGGAAAGGGTGCACTTGGCACTGGAGTTCCGCGAAGGTTGTTTCACCGGGCGGGGTGAGAAATTCGAGGGTTGAGACTCAATTGTTCCACTCCACTTTGACTGCGGGAATGACTTACACTCAATTGAATAACCTCCTGCGGGGCTTAGGGATGAGGAAGGTTAGGAAATAAACTTTCTATAATTTTTTTCGTGATGACGGCCCAGGTTCCCGACAATGGTTGCGACATGTCGAACGGGTTACTCAAAAGAGCTTCGACAGGGTCATCGCGCGATTGCGTAGGTCGAACGATCCGGTCGTCGTTTTGGTTGATGGGCGTTACGATTCGTCACGTGACGCTCAGCGTTGTATGGTGACGGCGGTGGATTTGATCCAGGAATGATCGTGGGGACGGAGACCATGCTCCGGGGGAACGAGTCGTCATGGAAGCTGGAGACACAGTGTGTTGAGAAATTGCTACATCGGTTGAAGGACGAGAAGAACCTCATAATCACAGAGGTTGTGCATGATGATTGTGGCGCGGTTGACGTCATATTGCGGCGAATGAACATTGACTCACAAAAGTGTATATGGCATAAGGTGAAGACTTTGGTCAAACGCTTGCGAGAGGCTGTGCAAGGCACGAAGACTGTCAAACCAACTGCAGTCGGGGCTTGCGAGCATGTGCGCGAGGTGAAGTGTTTCACAAAGAAGGAGCTCGAACTTTGGCTCGAATCGAAATGTGTACACGTGGCAGGGGTGTCCACGAGAAAAAAAGATGAACTCGCTGAGATTGTTTGGGGCGTGCTCTTCCCCGACGAAGCAGGGAAAGTGTTGCCTGATGATGTCGTCGAGATCGACGCGTTGCAAACACTGCATTACAATGCAGCGGAGGAGGCGAAGGAGTGGTTGTACGGTGCTTGCAGGCTGCGCGAGCATGCAAAGGATGACGATGGTGATGTGTTGGCCACGCATGTGCAACACCTCGCCAATCATTGGGCTGGGGATCACTCCTGTTGCGATATAGAGTTGTCCAACCTGTGCAAAGCGGCTGGGGGTCCGGACAAGGATCCATTGTACGAGGCGGGTGGGCGTGTTCATTTCGCCGTCGCGCGCTGTCTTGAACAGTTCGCTTCGAATACGACGATGGCGTACTACACACGTGCGAGGATGACCTTCAACAACGAGTGCTTCCACTCTGTGATCAACAAGTACGCAACGAAACGCTTGAACTTCCTCAAGTCGTATGAGGCGCGGGTGTGTTGCACCGCTTTGGAGTGGAACAAAAACAAACGAATCAGGCGATTGTGCACAGTCTTCCGCAAACCGACAAACGTAACCCATCGACGTCGTTCCACACGACAGCATATATACGCCGCACGGGATACGTCGTGGCGCTTCGACATTGCAACAACAGTTTTTGGCCGCCCTCGGGTCGGAGATTGGGCACGTAACATGTTGCGGCAATCGGACGTCGACGACCCAATTATTGAGCATTATGATGAGGAAGTCGATTATGGACTCCCTGATGTCGTTGAGAGTGCGGTGGAGGGTGTTGTGGATGAAGGTGACAATGTTTTCGTTGAGGCGGGAAGCGAAAGTGCTTCAGATGACATAAAGTCGTCTTCCGACTCCGACACCGATGATGCCGTTCACCGCCTCGACTTTGACGACGCCGTTCTTTCGCAGGAGGTGTCCGTTGCGCAGGAGTGATAGTGTCACGTACTACATCGATGCCCATTGTCGTCGTCATAATCATTAGAATGTTATGTCCTCGATTTGAAATGGTTGTGAGAACTGGTTGTGAGAACAGGTTGTGAGAACTGGTTGTAATTTTGAACTGGTTGTGATAATTGGTTGTTCGAACTGGTTGTGAGAACTGGTTGTAATTTTGAACTGGTTGTGATAACTGGTTGTTCGAACTGGTTGTAATTTTTGAACTGGTTGTGAGAGCTGTTTTTCATGTATACTAATTGTATATATGTTTTGTGTACACTTTATGATAACCGGTTCTGAATATATATATATATATAGATAAATAGATAGATAGATAGATAGATAGATAGAGAGAGAGAGAAAAAAAAAATAAAAATAAAAATCATATGTAGATATGTGTCCATGTGGCAAAATTGATAAATACAAAACAATACGAACATCTTTCCCTTCATCTCCATCCGTCTCTCTCTCTCTCTCTCTGTCTCTCTCTTATGTTACTGGAGTCTCGACAAACTGATCCATCCTGTCGTCCAATCCCACGTATGTCTCTGTAGTCTCGACCAACGAGATTGCAATGAATCTGAACCACATTCAGGCACGCATCGCCCCTCTGCAAGCAACTCGGCGCACGCGACTCCCTGTACCCTCGTCGTCGTCGGGTGCATGAGCCCTTGCGCGCCGGTCCATTTCGGAGTTGTGGTGCGGATAATCTGCAAGCATTGCTGCGAAAGTCAACGCCGAGCCCCACAACTGGCAGACGACCTACGATAATAACAACAATATAAATCACAGATTTGTATGTCACATCATATGCATGTCAGAGAGAGAGAGAGAG